AAAAATTGAATTGGAAAATTTAATTGTCTACTGTTCAGTATGAGAGTGGAGGCATAATGGTTTGAGGATGTTTTGCTGCCTGAACATGTATTGACTGAATTGGAGAAAAGAATACGTACGCATATCATACCCTCGAAAGCTCTACTAAAAGAAATTCTTACTGAGGATTGATACAAAACAGAATATTCTACGTAAAAAAAAAAAAAAAAAAAAAAACTGGTTAAATCCATGCTAAAGTGCATGAAATATGAGTACTTTTACCTAAAGGATGTACAAAAAAAAAAAAAAAAAAAAAAAAAAAAAATACTGAATTCCCTTTAATGCTCTGATTTTTATTAAATATAGCCAGTTTGTTCAATGTGTACGAATACTTATGTAAGTTCATTTTTAAGAACTTATGAATTATTTTAATTACTTTAATGAATTACTTTTTTTTATCAAAAAAGTACTAAATAATAAAAAAGATGATCAAAGTTATGCGTGAAAAAAAATTATTTCGCGAGTATTTAGTAGCTGATGTTTGCAAATAAAACTGGAAAACATGTGTCCGAAAACCAATTTGAGCCTCTGTATTGAGAACGTGTTATATGCGTATTTCGAAGAAAGCGCCGATAGACTGAAAACAACAATTTAACGCGGTTACCTCTTATAATAATTTACTTTAATTTCATTTAACATATTTCAATGAAATACAGAAATAATTTTAAGTAATAATTATGGATATTAAAGTAAAAGTACTGTAAATTCAGGTTTACCATAATGACGAAAACAATCCTGAATGAAATAGTAATATTAGATTATGAAATGTCTTTTCGGAAGATAATATTGTTGCGTGCGTACGGGTTCGTTACGAAATGAATGCACAAGTCCGATGAAAAATGAACAAAAATTTATTATTATCACAACAAATATGATTAAATGTCCTCAAATAATCGTGCAGTATCACAATATATCACAGTAGTTATCTTCTAACTACTCAAACGTTCAAAAGAACTTAATTCAAAGCAGCTAAAGAAAGCTAATCCGCGAATTCGCTACAGTCAACAAGAGCAGTTTTCTAAACAACAACAAACTAAGTAACTACCACAAACTGAGAGGTTTTCCTCCTTTTATAAGATTTAAAAAATCGCGCGCGAGAATTTTCTAGTACTTTCTCGAAATCAAAAAGAGTATTTATTTATTTAATGCACGCGCTCTTGTATTTTCAATTTTCCAGCTTAGCTTTCTTTTAATATTCGTCACGTGCTGCACTGCGCGAGAAATAAAACCATTTAATTTATAATTGAACTAACATTAGCCTTTTAAATACCAAATTCGTAACACTGCCCCCTTCCCAAGGACTACACGTCCCGGGCAGTACAATCCCTGGACAGGAAGCCAAATTTACAACTGTGGCATAAATGCAATAATAAGCATTACATTACAATAATAAACAACATGAACAATAAATGCAATAAATAAAACAAATCAAATACAAAATACAAATCAAACACTAAATACACATTTAGAAACAAAAAGAACCATGGTCTTACATTATTTACAATTATTTACATTACGTACTATGGCCATAGTAATGAGCTAACCTGTCGTAATGGACGACTTTAGGTTTAGAGTTCACAGTTCACTTACGGATCCGAGCCACGACGTCATTCAGCCTTTCCAGGACTGTGTATGGACCATCCCAAGGTGACTGTAATTTAGGACTGAGTTCTTTTCATTGAATCGGGTTCCACAACCACACCTTGTCTCTTTTGTTGAATCTATGTCCAGTAGCTCTCGTGTTGTATCTGGTCTTCACTTTCTCCGCCGCCAAGTTCACTCGCTTTCGTGAGGAACGGTGTATCACTTCAAAACGGGCTTGGACATCTTGGATGTGTTCCTCAGGCGATGAAGGCGCATCCGTATGGCGATCAAACAGGCGGTCACAAGGCAGACGAAGGTCTCGACCGAAGAGCATCTGAGATGGAGAATAGCTGGTAGTCTTGTGTTTCTTTTCGACCCTAGCATGATTTCGGCAGCTTCTCGAGCTAGGGTTCTTTGGGCAATGAGCGTCGGCATTTCTAGGTGAGGATCCCTTCTGAGGATGGATAGTTACGTCTTCAGATTCTGAAAGCAGTTTGTTGTTTTTGAAGTCTAAGGGAAAACTGTATTTCCTTAAAAAGTCCAGTCCGAGTATGCATGGATCTGTAATATCCGCCACATATGCCGTGTGATGGTAGGCGGCACTTCCAAACGTGATGTTCAGGTTTAACTTCCCAGCGATGTCAATCTTGTCACCAGACGCAGTCTGAAGGGTAACACAGGAGGGCGTCCAAATTAGTTTATCTTTAAACTGTTCAACTAAATCTTTCCTAATGATGGTAACATTAGCTCCAGTGTCAATGATCATTTTGCAAGGAACTCCATCAATATGCCCATTGATGAATAGTCCGTTACTGTTGCCACTCACTGTAGAAATCTTAAGCGCTTTAAAACGGGGTTTTTCATTATCTGGCAACATCCGTTCCTCGATATGGTCATTAATTTGTTTCCTGTGTTGTTGCTGGGAAATAGTCTTAATTTCCGTGCTCTAGGGTGTTCTGCAGTGGCGTCGTATATGCCCTTCAGTACCACATTTCCAACACCTTAGATCCACTTTGTTCTTACTCCTACTCCATATCAAAGCATTGATCTGTCTGGATAAATCATCTAAACGAGCCATCAATTGATCCACAGGCTCGTGGACTCGCACAGCTCTGACTGGGTAGCGATCTCTACGAGTAGCTTGCTGCGCTGCCTTGAATTTCACGGCGTACAACAGAGCGCTTTTTATGTCCTTTACATCCGCCATTCGTAGAGCCTTCTGTATTTCAGGATCCCGGATGCCGTCGATGAAGTATTGCAGGGACAGGATTTCCCTTGTTTCTGTCGGGCATTCCGAAAAGGCGAGATGGGACAGCCTTTCAACATCCGTGGCGAGCTCCTGAAGTGTCGGTAGGCTTCTGTTGACGAGATTTTAATTGGAGCCTACTGTAGTCTTTCAAACACTTTTCGCCAAAGCGCAGCTCCAATGCGCCGGATAGAGCTTCAAAGTCTAGTCTCTGGTTTTCGGGAAGCGTCTGCAGGATATCCGCTGCGTCTGCTCTTAGAGAAGCGGCGAGATGACAGGCCTTAGCTTGGGAATCCCATCCATTCGCATCCACAACTATAGAAAATTGTACCTTATACACCTTCCAGGAGGTCTTCCCATCATATGTGGATAGCTTCAGAGATGGACGAGCAGGCATCGGTAAGAATTTAAAATCATCACTCCTGCTCCCTGCCGTCACTACGAATTTCTTTAAAGTATACATTTCTTTGGCAACTGCAGAAACTCTCTCATCAATTTGTTGTTCGATTTGTTGTTTAACGGAACAAACTCTTCCTTCTATTTCTTCTTTGACTGGACCAACTCTGTAACCTATTTGTTGTTCCACGGCCGAAACTCTGTTTTCTATTTGCTCTTTCACAGAAGAAACGTTTTCTTCAGTTTGTCCAACTTTAATTTCGACCGCGTCTATTCTGCCTTCCATAGCCTCAAATTTATTTTCTATTACGCAGGTAATTTCTCTTTTCATTTAGTTCTGACCTGCTTTCATCTCGTCTTTAACGGATGTCATCTCTTCCTTAACAGATTCCTGGCCCAATTTCATTGCTTCCTTAACGGATTACTGGCCCAATTTCATTTCCTCTTTAATTTCTTCTTCAAACGAGGCAAAGGCTGATATCAACGGCCTTAATTGCTCTTCCATCGCTCTTGTTATTGGCATTCAAATCCCACTTCTGACACCAAAAATTGTTGCGTGCGTACGGGTTCGTTATGAAATGAATGCACAAGTCCGATGAAAAATGAACAAAAATTTATTATTATCACAACAAATATGATTAGATGTCCTCAAATAATCGTGCAGTATCATAATATATCACAGTAGTTATCTTCTAACTACTCAAACGTTCAAAAGAACTTAATTCAAAGCAGCTAAAAAGCTAATCCGCGAATTCGCTACAGTCAACAAGAGCAGTTTTTCTAAACAACAAAAAACTAAGTAACTACCACAAACTGAGAGGTTTTTCCTCCTTTTATAAGATTTAAAAAATCGCGCGCGAGAATTTTCTAGTACTTTCTCGAAATCAAAAAGAGATATTTATTTATTTAATGCACGCGCTCTTGTATTTTCAATTTTCCAGCTTAGCTTTCTTTTAATATTCGTCACGTGCTGCACTGCGCGAGAAATAAAACCATTTAATTTATAATTGAACTAACATTAGCCTTTTAAATACCAAATTCGTAACAATATTACCAATTTTGTATATGTGTAAATAATTTTAGCGAAATTATGTATAAATTGTAGTTAGGGTTACAATGGTAAATCGAGGAATGGCTTTGATGACCAATTTTTATCCCCAAATTTCGTGAAAAATCTCAAAAAGTCGCTAAATTTTACAGCCATTTGACGGCATTTGGGTCCGATCTCTGTATAACTGTAACTGTAGCCAAACTTAAGTATTTATAACCTTGTTTACCTTCCAGCAATTTCTCGAAATCGTAGGTACTGGAAATTTCTCGGAGGCTGAGGGGGAGGGGACTATATATGGAGAGAGCATCAGTTTTCAGTTTAGTTTAGAAATGAGTTCATAGTTTAGCTAAGAGTATTGAGAGATCAGTTTGCAAGCTTATGCACAGGCTTTTTGTATTGCCTTGAGTTCAACGTTCTTAGTAGTTTAAAGTGATAACTACTGATTGTATTCTAAGATGTATTCTAAGACTGAAAAGACCTGTACCATTGCTTTTGTGTGAAAAGTTCCAGAACTGTAAAATGTTTCTGCAAAAAAAAAAAAAAAAGTTTCATCAATTCATCGGTTCTATGAATATTCAATCCATTACGACACGTAACCCTTGTTACGTGTCATAATGGATTTCCAATATTTACAGGTTGAGATTACCTTTTGGGCCTCAAGTTTTCCAATATTTACAGGTCGAGATTACCTCTTGGGCCGTTTAAATAGACCTAGAGTGATGAATATTCCACGAAAAAGTCTTCCACGAGCATCTATTGGAGGAGGAGATTTGAAACAAATTCTGGAATTGGGAGCTGAAAGCGAGCAGAACATCGCATTGCAGAACAAGGAAGCCCGAGCCTTGAATCCAGATGGTTTTGTTGTAAGTATCAACTACTTCGACATGTTATATATGGTTTCCATTTTCGGTAGAATCTCTTCCGACATAAACAGAGTTTATTGAACACCAACGATGAAAAAGATTTTTTTCATTTATCATCGATATTATAAATTATTATATTCCTGAATGAGGTTTTGAATTAGTCATTTAAAAGTCATTTCGTCTGATTTTAAACATTTGGCAGAATTATTACTGTATACATTGAATGTTATAAATCAAATAAATTTTTTACAACATGTAATAGGTCGATTGTAAGATTTGTAATTATACGTGTTTTGTACATTATTGTTTTACATCCTAAATATGAATCGTCTTCCATTGAAACTGTACAGTTTGGAAACCTCTTGCCATAAATGTATAGTTTATTGACAATGTTTATCTCATCAGATGTTTAAGATGAAATTTCATAATAATATGTAAACTGCAAACCTCTTTATATATTTTTTGCGTTCTTTGAATAATAATATTTTGCTTTTTAATATTTTGATATCTTTTGATCACTTTACGTTCAAAAACGAAATTCAGAAACGAATGCTAGAGTTTTTAAAATTGAAATTCTTTCCGAGCTGAATTTTAATTTTATTCAGTTGTAAAAATTTAGTTTTGTAAACTGGCAACCGTAGATTTTATTTTTTATTTAAAAAGAGGAATATTTTCAGAATTTACTTATATTAAATTTTTTTAAATTGTTACTTCAGATTAAAGTTTCTTTTTTTGAAGGGGAAGGAGGGCGCAGAAGATAGTTAACTTGAGCTGCAAAATTTGTGTAGTTAATAGAAGCTGTGGATTCTAAGGCAGAGTGAATCAGGCATTTAAAATATTTTTTTTTGTTTAAAATTACCGATTTTATTCAAAATTTTCTAAACTGACAAAGTACGACTGTGGTTCATAGCAAAAAGAATTACTTTTATATATAAGTACCATCTTTCCTAACAGATTTATTTTATTCGAGATCATATGGATCTCCAACAAAATTGATCAAGACATATGTCCAAAAGAGTTTGGAATTTAGACCATTTAAATAAAACATACACAGGATAACTTCAACTTTACAAATTAATTTCTTTCCTAATAATACCTCGAAAAACGATAACTCGCGTAGGGGTTTGCAATGCGCTGAATGCACATAGAATCGATGAAAGCTTGATGAAATCTATTTTCCTAAAATACTTCCCAGTTGTGGAATTTTCCACAAAAATACATGCACAGCTCTTCTCAGTATGATAGATCACAATCAGTAATTACCACTTCAAACTACTAAGAACGTTAAACACAAGGCTTAGCAAAAAGCAGAAGTTAACGTAGTGATCTCTCAATGTTCTTAACTTCTGAGCTAAAATGAAAACTATTTATCTATTGAAGTATATCCACGAATATCGCACGTAATTGGAGTGTCCGCCTCAGTAAACTAATGCTACTTTAGCACTTCACATAAAAAGTTCGTCAAATATTTTCCCAGTGAGAAATCTGAGATGATGGAAAAGGAGGTCCAAGGAAATTCCAAAAAAGTGTTCATCTTATAAGGAAGTTGAAACGTAAGATTCTACTTCAGAAACCATGTTTACGATACTAAATGAAAGCAAAGGCTTTTCCTCCGTGGTTTTAATCGTCTTGCAATTTTCTGAAATCTGTATGAGTTTTCTGAAGAAATTGTTTATTCTTTCAGCCACGTTTAAGTTAACCTTATAGTTTTTCGGAGATTTAGTCGATTCATATTGGCCGAACACTGTGCTTATGTAGCGACATTTTCTTCAGGTGCTGGAATGTTTATGATTCTGAGTATTAATGTCAGCAGATTTCGTCCGTTTCCGAAGGAGTATTTTTTCTTCTTTCTTGATGTAAAACTATGAACTTTTGCTGTATTTGGTCTTATACAGTTTTCTCCGCCGCGCAGACGGTATAGTGATTAGTGAAGTCTGACTGCGATACCGAAGAGCCCGGGTTCGAATCCCGGAGAAGACACGGATGTAAAATTGTCTGTCCCTTCCTTCATAGAAGGGACCGGTGCCGCCTATTAGGTGCCTCCACAATAAAATAGCCACCACTTCGGGCCTTAGTAGTGGCCAATGTCGTTATAGGCAAGTGCCCCCCGTTGAAAAAAAATATAGAGTGAGAGAATTTTTCTCCACGGAGTTATCAACAAAGAAATTTCTAGTAGCTTCTATTTTTCGAAATTGCTGGAAGGCATACACAGTTAGAGTTACACAGGAATAGGACTAAAATTTCCCAAATGCGCGTCAAGCTTGACAAATTCTGGAGATTTCTCGCCAAATTTGGCAGCAAAAGTTGATCTCAAAAACCATAGCCAGCTTGGCTTTCTCTCACCAAAGCCATTTATGTCAGTGTTAAAATGGGTTTATCCTTTTTACCCCTATTTTTCCTGTGATGCTAGGGATCCTGAGGCTTTTCATGCTGCTGCTACAAGAGATAAACTATTTGCATATAATTTCACTAAAGTTGTTTACATGTTTACGAAATTCGTAACAACATAGTTAAGCATTCAAATTTGCTTTCGAGATGGCGGATAATATGTTAGCAAGCGATTGTTTAACATCGGGTGGAAAAATTCGGCCGATTTCCAATTCTTTTTATAATTTAACTCTCATTTTTACTTCCTTGTAGGAAGTAAAAAGGAAGTACTGTAATCGCGAAAATCTTCAGGCATCATATTTCAACGAATATATCTATTTTGACCGCTATCGAATGCAATTTAACGATGTTTTTGCGTGACATCTGTACGTAAGGAAAGAATAAAAGACTCTTACCCCCCAAAAAAATTATAAAACTGATTTAGACCTCAGAACATTGAAATTTTGTATACAGGACTCCTATAACATGCATATGTGCACCTCGTATTTTGGTTGCAATCGGCCGCACCAAACGTACATAAATATATGTATATATATATATATATATATATATATATATATATACTTTGTTAACCGGCTCAGTGATCTGTTTGTTTACTCTTATATGTTTGTAAGTTGTGCATTTTTTGCTTTAAAAAATGATTGAATTATGTTGTTCTTATCTTCCGGTTAAGGTTTTTATGCCTTTAGTAAATCTGCATGCAATATTTGTGGAGTTATCAACAATTTAAAAGTTGTTTAAGTGCAGCTAAGCCTAATGAATTTTGCGATGCCGGACATGTCTGTTTACATTTTAAATTTGGCAAAATAGCGGATTTGTTGCCAATAAGCCTCGCAACAACAAAGATAACGCCTCCTTTTATTATTTCGAATTAAATCAAGTTTAATACATTCTGGAATTTATTCGAGGAAATAAGTGTTTAAGACTTACTTCATAATTTTTAATATAGATATTTTGTATTTTTACGTAATTTTGCCCTTGTCGGGAAGTGAGAACTGAATTAATCGAATGAGAAATACTGAATCGTCTGTAAAAAACTGTTTCTTTTTTTTGTTTTGTTTGCTTAATTTCTTTTATACATTGTTTTAGATTTATTATAGTATTTGAATAGAGCATGTGGAAACGATTAGATAATTCTTCAAATGATGTAAATTTATATGCATTCCTGATTTGTAATATGAACGTAGTGTAACTTTATTAAATGAAGCTAGCGCCAGAGTGTCGCTGTGGTAAACAAATCTAGTGAATTTTAAAGAGTGCATTTATTCTATTGTGGTTTATGCGCTATCGACGAAGTAGATTTAATTCAGTTCAATACGTTTAAGTGAAATGGAAGAAAAATTGCGTATAATTTAATATTCCGTGCAAGGAAGTCATGGGGTGTACACATCAGATTTTTTAACTATGAATTTGCTCCAAATTATCGTAAAGTCGGAGCTTGTAGAGTGAGGTTAGGGTTCTTTAAATTGAGCAAAACTCACAAGAACTATTTGCTTGTATAAGGGATGCATTCGTCTCAGTTTGTCCTCTGATAAGCGCGATGTTAGTATATAATTGCTCTTTTATTTTTCAATATTTGGAATTTTCCAAGAATACCTTACGCGTGTAAGAGGATTTTAAACAAGATATGGTCCAAGGCATAAATATATACCAAATCTATAGTTTTGTACACTTCAAAGGTGACTTTAATCATGTTACTAAAAATAAATAGTAAATAAATGGCATAATTCCACACCTCTCATTAGAAAAATTATACAATTGATTTTGAAAGCTATATTTTACAGCACTAATTCTGTGATATTTGGATACTTCAAGATGAGAGGTGATATATATTTCGTTGGAAATAATTGTACAATCAACCTGAGGATAAATGAATTTGAGGTGATATCCTTTTTTGATCATGTTAAAGAGAGAAATGACAACATTTGTTGACTAGTTAGTAATATTAAGGAAATGATTTTCTGCATTACTTTAAGTAAGAAAACCAGCTAATCAGTAATTCGGCGATATATTTTCTTACTGTGAAAGAATGCGATGCATCTAAGTAGGAAGATTGTTTATTCTTTACCTTTAGTACTTCATAAAAAATTATTCACCTCTTTCGAAATAAAAATAACACGTTATTGAAAACTATTCTTTCATGGTAGTTAATATTTAATTTTAAGAGACAATAAATGTGTTTCCTGTTGGTTCAAGAAATACAATGTTCTTTATCTTTTCTAGGTATATCCTTGCGAACTGGAAAATGTGACTCCATTTGGAGAATTTCAGGATTGGCTACATTCATTCGACCTCAACAGAGTAAAAAAGTCTTTTCGAACTGGCGCGATCGATTCGCAAGTAGCAGTTTTTAAGGTATTTACTAGAATTGTTACAATAAAAGGCGTGTTCATCTTTAAAGATACATATATTGCTTTAATTCAGGTGTTGATGATACGTATAGCGCGCTTTATATATCTTTCAAGATACCGTTCACCATTCTAAAATACATAAAAGTGAGAAAGATGCATAATCGAAATTTTAGTTGATGATGCGATAATTTAATTTTAATTGTAAAATTTAATGCTACTCTTATAGTTATTTATATACAGTCGAGATCTCCGTTTAACTTTTCAAAACTCAACATTTAACACCATCCGCTTGACTATAAATCTTAGCAGTAACATAGAAAGTAAATTAATACACATTTTATATCTCCTATATAATATATGCTGTATTCTTAAATATAGAAAAAGAGTAGTTTTTCAAGAAAATTTTACAAGGAAGGGAAAAATATATATATATGTAGTATTACACTTTACTTATCGGTTTTGTGAATTTTTAGGTCTTTTGTTTATGCAATGAATCGTTTTTCTGTCGCTTTCTACTTCTTTCCATAAAATGCTGCATTTCTTATGAATCTATACGATTTTTCATAGTCTGTAAAAAGTATACTAAACATAAAAAACATACATGAGCACCACGAGAGATAACGCTTTCAGTGGTTCCAAGTTACCGAACAATGGAAATATTCACGCAGAAACGAAATATCTCCCCCTCTCAGGGGTTTTTAATCGGATACTTGAAATAATTGTATTTATCGCAATAACAACAATAGATGGATTCAAAATTAATAACCGTACTTAATTGATGTTAGTAACAATGGTGTAGTTATGAACTACAAATAATTTCAATCAACTGTAATTTAACGATGCATCTTTACGTTTATTTACATTTCTTTCCACACAAATGATTTCATACGTAGTCTTCAAACGTTTCTGTGCCTTGAGTTTTAATAAATTTTAAACTTTGGTAATAAATTTGTTTTACATTATTTAAATAAATTTAATTTTCATATTGAATTTGTTTTCTAAAATAAATTCGATTTCAAAATCACGCATTAACTTTCGAACAAATCCGAGAATCCGCTTCGAAAGAGTACTTTCTTTCTTGTATTTTTGAGAGAAAAATATTTTTTTCTCTCAAAAATACAAGACAGAAAGTACCACAAGACACCAAAAATAGACTGACAATGTAACTAATGATCATTTTACTGGTTATCAGCTTTTTAAACTATAGAAGATTTTCGTCAACACTTTTTTTAGATGAATATATGTTATTCAGAAACATAATTTTCGTAACTTGAATTTAAGGCATTTCATGAATTTAAATTTCAGTTTTTATAAATGAGTTCTTGTCTTAATGGTCGAAAGTAGTAAAAGAAGTACTCGTAAATTCAACTTTTTTTGTTCAGTTACGTCAGTTATGAGTTAATTTGGAAAGGCAGGTGGTGGTAATGTAATCTAGATAACTCACTTCGATACCTGACTCCCCTTTTTCCCGAAAATGAAGCTTAGGTAACTTCTTTGTATTCATGAAATCAATCGTTGAATATTTTAACGTGAAAAGAGTACCCGAGGCTCGAAATTTACGGCTTCTATTTCAGATCTGTAAGTGATAATCATCAGCGCACAATTAAGAGTAGTCTTAGCAATAAATGCAACGCCAGAATAGCCTTCTATTCTATGCAATGAATTGCCGAGGTTATTTCAGCTACAAATCTCATCAGTCAGTTTTGTTAGTTTGCGTCTCTCAGTATATGAGGCTACATTTCAACTTGGATTTACAAATGACTAAGCTTTATCAATTTACATTATATTGCATGAAAAAGGGATATCGGATAATAATATTAGACATAACTATGATAAATTGGAAAGTCTCAAAGAAAATCTATCACCTTCAGCAAGATTATTTAGATAAAGTTATAATAGCTTCTTTATTGTAAAATATTTGGAACTACTTCTCTTCTAATGGCTATCCACAAATGCTACATATAACGATTGGCAAATCATTACATCCAGTAGTGCTTACACAAGATAAAACGCGAAGCTAAAGCATGAACTAGAAATTAAAACTTAATATAAACTTTATTAACTATGAGCTATAGATGTGACAAAATTTAAATGAAAACAACTGAATCGAGATGTTGTTGTTTAACTAACCGTTTTCACGGCCAGACGCCTAAAATAGTTATTATAAAAAAATTAAAATATATAAATGATTTTCTAAGCAACATCATTCAAAGGGAAAAACTAAATGTAGTGCTTTTAAATCGCTTAGTTTATTAATCAAAGTCAGACAAAGATTAAATCAGAAAAAAAATTAAATAGCTTACGTTTTATAAAGGACAACACACTAACACTGACGCGTCGAAGGGGAAAATATTTTATTTTGGACAGCAGCAAAACGCTTTTATTTTTTTTTTTTTAATCGCGAGTTTTCTGATTTAAATTTGAAACACAAATACGTTTCTTACCTTTTGCCCAGTAGCAATACATTGCTTTTAAAATGTAGACTTTGTTAAACTTCATTAAATTGGCACGATCGCAAAATGTCATTAAATTCACCCAAAATATGAAATAAATTTAAAACAAATTCGTAATTCAAAATTCCGACTTCAAGGTACACATGTTCAAATGTACGTACATATAGATTCTTCATTATTTAATAACAGACCAGCCTACAACAGTAACTACTTACAGCTACGTTAACATTAAGTGATATTACAATAATAAATCATAGGCAAGTCTATTACATGTTTTTGGGTTAGAACGAAAACCTGCCTAACTTCTTGAACCTACCGAGCCCCTTCGAGCTCTGCTAGTTGCTTTCACAGCAAGGCTACAGAATCAAGATTGCATCCTGGTCTTAAACTGTGTCTATCCGTCTAAGCCCTTTGTCTAAGCGAGCATCGTACGAGGCAAGAAACATAGGACATAAATTAACATAAAGCTAAAATCTTAAATCATGAAGGTCATAAATCATAAATAAAACTTAAATCATAAACTCAATGAAACTTAAATCGTAAGTGTCACAAAGTAATTAGAACAATGACAAAAGCGGAAAATATTTGAAATTAGATTAATTAATATACGCGGGCAGATCAAAAAATAAGTTGCACTTCCAAGTTATGACCATTTATTAAATTTTCGATAGAAAAGCAACACGGCTATGACAACATACAATGTAAGTTCACTTTTACACATAGTTCCCAAGAGACTCTAAACATTTCTGAAAACGAACAACCAAATTCCGGATGCATATAAATCTCCTTCGGCTTCAAATTTTTGACACCACTTTCCAATACCTTGCCGAGAAATTATACGCTCACCATATACAGCAGTGATTTCACGATATGTCCGTGCAATTCATCTGTTTGGCCCATAGGAATCTGATTGTTGCACGCACCTCCAATTTGGAGTGAACATCCAGCTGACGCGCCACTGATTTTTAGCCCATTATCTACATACAACAAGACGGGAAACCGCACCAACTTTCCTATCGGACCTCTGAGCAGTTAATGTCCCCCTTCTTCACATTGCCCAAGATTACGACATAAATTGCGCTCTTGTGGCGAGTTAATGCAACTTAGTTTTTGATCTGCCCTCGTATATATATTGTTTGGTATTTTTTCATATAAAGCATAAGATGGGCACAAAATGTGCCTGTAATATTTTTAAAATAAAACAAGGGATAGCAATTGACAAAAAAGAATCGTGAAACTTTTGCGTAAAGAGCTTGCCTCATAGAATTAGATGCATTCTAAGTATTTCATTCAAAAGATTTTAATATTGAGTTTTGCAATCCTTTCTAAGACAAAATTTATCTAATACAGCTACTTATATTTATTTACTTAATGTTTGAGTTAAAATAAAACTCCGAATCACGATTATTAGAGGTGCTGTGGCAACAAGACTCAGCGCAATATTCATTCATTCATCTGCAGCTAAAGAAGATTCTATTATTTAAACCTTCGAAAGTAGTGTTACAAATTTTGAATACTACGCTGATTCTTGTTGCCTTAGCACTTCCAATAATAAGCATTATCGAAATTTTAGCTGTTATTTGAATCAAAATTTCTTTGTCGTTAACTTATGTTTGCAGTCAGCAATATGATTTTAATGAAAACTACTTTATTCCCTTTAATGCAATAACTGCTTTGCTCATAGCTTGTTATTCTTTGTCATTTGCAAGTTGTTACAGGAAATACATCTGTAATATTCAAAACAAGCTAAATCAACAGTGTTATAATGGGAAAGCACATTGTTTAGACCTTTTATATATAAAACATCTTATTGTTTTCCTAAAGTAGAAGACCGAAAATGTAATATCTGTTAGACCAAATTAGAAAACATGTAATTTTAAGTTTCAGCACTTTAGTATTCAGAAAACACCATATATTTTTCTTATAATGCTGCATTTTATCAACTACATTGCAAGATATTTTCTCCCTATTTTCAGCATGCCTTCGTAGTGTAACGATTAGCACACTCAAAGCGTATTCGAGAGGTCCAGAGTCCAGGCGAGGGAATTGCTCATTTTTCCCTTAAAAAAAAAAAAAAAAAAAAAAAAAAAAAAAACTTCAATGGATTTTGAAACAGGAAATTGAAGAAATGCGCAATGCAAACTGGAACCCGGACCTCTCGAATACGCGCCGAGTATGCTAATCATTACACCACGAAGGCATCCTGGATGGAGGGAGAAAATGCCTTGTAACATGTTCAACTAAATGAACTCTAAGTAAATAAATTAAGATAAATTCTAGAAATAAGAACCAAACTAGTATTTCTCAATATACAGGGTTGCTTCCGTGTCTACAAGCTGCCTCTTCCTCCTGTTATTTTGGACCCATACTTGCCAATTGCGGACAGTCAAGAAGGTTTATTTGGAGGCTTGCCTGAAAACAATCCAGTGAGAGTATTAGTTAGAGCTTACATTATACAGGTAAGATTTACTTTGTACTTTTATTTCTGATTGGAGCAATAAGCATACAAGGATCAAACGTAATTAACTTCGTTGGAGAATGCTTCCTCAGCCTACTAAGCAGGAGGGGAGATATTCAATTATGCTGTAAATTTACAAATGTCATTGGCATTATTAATATCTTCCTTCTCCGTTTTTTTAATTCTCATATACGCTTTCGTATCTTTTCTGACGCATTACTTTGTGTTAAAAGATAACTGCGTATTCTGTGGAGAAATTTTGAAATATACAACATTAAAATCAATGTAAACACATGGTATTTTAATTAAAAAAGTCAGCCCTTTTCTTTAACACTATCATTCCTTGAGAGAAATGATTTGATTTAACTGGAATACAAACATGTAAAATTTTAATTTAAATCAAAAAGCAGCCTAGGAGGAATGACATAGATTTTCAGAGTAGAGGTTTTTTTTTTTTTTTTTTCCAAAATCTACGTGAATATAAGGCTTTATTTTCATGATTTTAATAGTTTCTAACATAATAACAATATTGTTTTTAGATATCTAAGGGTAATTTTATGAGATACTATTTTTTGCGTTAAAGAATTTCCTAAGTATTTTTAGCATATTCTAACATTCTATAATCTAATATTCTAAAATCGTAAAATTTGTATAGCTCTTCCCTAAAGTCATGCCGAGCTTATTAACCATTTTCGATTTATATCTGTGAGGAAAATATTTTTTTTCATTGTAGGCAGTGAATTTAACTCCTACAGATGTGACCAATACTTGTGATGCTTACATTGTGATTCAACTTGGAAAGCAGAAGGTTAATGATAAAGACCACTATATTTCCAAAAAACTGAATCCTGTTTTCGGAAAGTAAGAAACTAAGCGTTTTTTATACATCTGTTGTTCTCATTTTGGGGAATTATTTATTAGCATCTTGTTTCCGAATTCTCTAAAAGTGGGGTGAAACGTTTCGGTGATTTCTGGTTTTTAAAAATAGCTTCTTAAACTCATAATTTCTAGGTACTTTCTTACGTGGTACGTGGTGCTAATGAATAAATACGTTCCTTTAAAAAATATTTATTTTTGCTTGTAGCATCTTGTGGCCCCAACTTGTCAGCAACTGTGGTAGTGACTGCTACTAAGTGTAAATTTACACAGACACGTAAGAAGGGTTTAAAGCCCTTTTTATTCAACTATTAAAATAACAGCTGCGTCCACTTGACGCTCACAAACTACGCCGACCCGGCTGTTTAACTGAAATAGAACGTAAAACTGAACAATTATGACTAGATGAATAAAATAGCGAGATCACTATCCACGAGGCTCTGAGATCTTAAACTAACCTAACTGCGTTCTAAAATACCGCTGAGATTCAGTGAGCTTACTAATTAAGCAGTTGAACGATTCAGCAGAAACTGCCGAGATAGGCACACAGGCCGAAACGCGCGGTTCTTAAATTTCTACCTAGCAACCTTCACGTTCGCGATTCAAGAAGCACACCTACAATCTCGTTTTCCTTCTATTTAAACTCAACTTACTTCTGCTAAATTTGAATATACTGCGCGCTCTACTACAATTTACATGCTCTAGCATTGGCAATTCTAGGGGAAAGTAAAGGCTTGACAGGAAAGATAGCTTAAAATAAATATAAACCCTACATGTTAAAAGAAATGTAAAAGAATTTTAAAAAATATTGGGTATTCGAATCTCGGGCCTGTCATACTGTATCTGACCACTGGAAAGAAAATTACTTTTGTGCCCTCTCTTAAAAGCCATAAATAGTGAAATCATAATAGATTGTTTCGTATGAGAATCTTTTTAGTGTTCTCAAAATCCTGATTATTCAACATGGCGCCTCTCTGCATCGGAGGCCTGGGCCGTCACCCTATTTCACTCCCTTCCTTAAGCCACTGTTGGGTACAGCAGATATGTGATTGGGAAGCTTTACTTGGTCGCAATGGAGAGTTGACTGATGCCGCAATTGAATGAGAATGATAATGATCACTTCTTTTAATAAAATAATTGTCCGAATCACTCAGATCTGAATCAAAATTTCTTTTAAAGTTAGCATCTATTTACTAGAGTATTCCAATCAAAATATCGCATTAACTGAGATGCGGTGCACAAGACATTGAATAAGTTGTAGAACTTGGTATTAGCATTTCGGTGTAATTTGGCATAATTTATTTGTTGAGAATTTTAAAAAAATTCAGTAAAGCATATTTTTTATTTAGTATTAAATTTGCTTTGGGTAGTCCTGTTTAATCATTAAACTAATAATCGGCGATTTTCATTTCTATGCTTTCGAATAAATGAAAAAATAAAACTCCAAATGAAGATTTTTTTGGTATTCCTAACCTGGTTTGCCGGATTCTAGTGGTTTTTCAAAAAAATGCTCAAATTTTTAGCCATTATACAATTAATGTGCTTTTAAATCGAAATCTTTAGTCTTTCATCGCTAACTCCGCATAATTTTAAGTGACGATAAGATTTAATTACTTAATCAAGCAGAAATTTTCGATAAACTTAATGTATCCCGCCATCGGATAGATCGGAACACTTTTGAAAAAATGAACACATTTGGCGTTGTTTATTACTACGCTGATGAAAAGGAATAATTTTCCTGTTTTCAGAGGCGGTGATTTTCGATGTGTCTCATTTTTTAATTGAAAGCTATAAAATAAAATTTGTAGAAAAACTTTTTTAAGTTACAGCATTTTAGTTGAATTCACTAAAACGTAAAATAATTTTTAGCTACCATATTATTCTAGGTTCGTGTGGACTAAAATAAAATAATGGGCCGGCTATCTACGAAACATAGTAGCACATTAACAAAATTTCAAAGAACAATAGATAGAATAAAAATTATATTTATAAGAATGACTGCATCAAATTCTTGTAAATTCTCCATGACAAATTTTAGTGATTTTTTATGATCAAGAATATTATGATAACTAAACAATTTATTTTTTTGCATTTTAGTGTATTTAATTTTAAAAAATTTTTTTAATATAAACTTAAAAATTTTTTAATATATTTATATACAAATTCGAAACTGTCATTTGCCTTCCTCAGAACATTACATTAGAAACTTTGGAAAGGGGGAAAAAGAACCTTAAAAAAATCACTGTATTCTTGCTCGGAATCCAATAGAAGTCTTCAACATAGGCCATTGAAATGCTAACTAGTATACCCCAACAGGCCATTGATATGCTAACCTCAACATCACGTAGGACATGAGAGAAATGTTTTTAATTCTTTACAACTACATCTCGCGATTCCATTTGCCACAAGGACATTTTATTACATCTTAACATAAGCTGCCATCATGCGTGAAGATAAAAGTTCAAGCGTTCAATGTAATGATTAAAATATTATTTAAAAACGTTTTAGAAATTTTTTATTATTATTTTTAGATGAGTACTCAAAATGACTTTTTTTTAAATTACTCAAGCATATCCTTCTTAAATCATATACTTTTCTTTACAGGCTCCGCTAAATAATGTTTTAAGTACATTCTTCTTTTCAATGGTAAAATGACTTAAAAATGTCATTTCTGCAAAGGCATGTTTAAAAAATGTATTGTGGGTTTGAAACCAAAAATTAAAAAATCTGGAGTAAATTAATGTTTTAATCCGGTGTAATTTTGAATCATTGAAATATGAATGTTTTTAGCTTTTTTCTTTTATGCACGTCTTTTGATATTACGAAAAATTTTGGCTGAAACATTTACTTAATTGTTTTAGATTCAACTCGGCTATAATAGCTAGCGAAAATGAATGGTCATGTGATGATTGTATGAATAGGGTGCTCCATTCACACTTTAAGTAAATCAGAAATTAAATTATTATTATTATTATTATAATTGATGTATTTTGAAATCATTTAAAATGAATGAATTATGATAGGTCTACCAGGTTTCGAATCTCGGCAAACAGGCGGACTTCTTGAGCGTTTTCCCCGTGCGTTACAGGCTGTCCTTTTCATTTCGTCCAAGAAAACATCATTGACTTTAACTGTAGTTTGAACTATCCTTCAAATGACGAATATTTCTGAACACATAAATAAACATCAGTACTAAATATTCTCTCTCTGAAAAGATCTTTACCTTGAGAGATTTTTTTCCTTCAGATATTTTAACTAACAATTAAGAAAAAAGTATAAAATTATGAACTAAAATTTATTTAAAGGCAGTCTTTAAATAAATTCTAATTTATTAAAATATTAGTTAGGTCTCACAGAGTTTACAGAAGTGCTTGTAAAGCACTGATACTAATACAACACTGGAACTTGCTGAATATTAAAGGCAGACAAATTAATCGTTCGCTCTACGAATAAAATCCAGACTCTGCTAGGAAAAGCTTTATCTAAAAGGTTTTGTGAAAGTATTTCATCACTCAGTTTAACTCTTAATTTTACTTGCTGAACGGATAGCTCTACAAATTTAGTTCCAGTCACAGCAATGATGACCACATCAATGCGAATAACTGTGTCTGTTGATAGGTAATTGGAAATAGCAACAACATAAATTTGCTTTCTTCTTTTTTCTATTTCATTTCTCTACCTATTTTCATACATCTGAAAAGTGTCTTCTTGGAGTAAAAATCGATAAAAGATGAAAAATGTTTTAAGTTTCGGTGAACTAAACCTACAAGCTTATAAAATGCATATTTTCGATCTTTCTTGTAATAGGATTATTTAGATTATAGAAAAATAGACGATATCTATCTGCTTAAAAGAAGTGATGCCTTCATGGTGGATTTTTTAAGAACTGGATCATATTCATATTGGAAAAAAACCACGAGACTCTCATGTAAGCAGCCCATACCCCAGGATTTGAAACCGAGTCAAAGTACCGATTAATCAATCAAAATTTTACCATTTAAGCCGCACATGGGCGTTTTCTCATTAAACAGTAATAGGCGTCAAAGTGTTTTCTCTAGAACGAATTATGTGCCAACTTGATATGGACAGGTAGGAAATATATTTTTGTCATCAGATTATTTCGCTGCTTTGGTTTTCTGTTGTTGTTTCTGATCCTTCTCATCTGAAAAGATCCGTTGATCAGGTACATGAAACTATCATGCCCAGGAGGTAGTGCTCCTGCCGTTACCCAAAGTTCTGGGCAACTCCCAGGTGATAAAGTCTGCCCGTCTCTGTCCTTTTTTTGATGTGAAGAACGAATCAGGATATTTTTTGCACCTACCCACAGTCACTCGAGAAACTTTTCAGCACAGTGGTATTTTAAGTACGCCATCCTGCAAAGACACTACACACCTATAACCGTCCATGTCTTCTGTGAAATTTCAACCTAGGACCTAAGCTATAAGAACCGGCTTTTCCCCTATGTCAGTAAGGCGGAAGCTCCACCAGTAGCCGAGTGGTTAAGACCTCTGAATACTGATATTTTGACCTGGGTTCGAACTCGAACTTAACGGCCTGGCTACATGAGGATTTTCGAGGTTTTGCCACGTCTTCTGTCAATATGAGCCAGTTTCCTTTAGAAAAACCTCCACGAAACCATGCCTTCCCTGAAGCAGGTAGCTTTTTTGAGCTTTTCTGCATCCAAATAACCTAATCTAATCTAGCAAAAAGAGAGGAAAAAGTGTTCTAAACATGACAAATATTTCTCTTAGATTGATTAGTTCAATAAGCAAAGACTAAATAGACTGCCATATTTTAAAAGCATTTTATTGGCAATATTTTCTTTAAAAACAAGAATGTTGTTACAAGAGATAACAAAAATTCATTTAACTTAGTAGGCAGTGCTGGAGTATATATCTTTCTATAGGAAATATTTGACACTTGTTTGCCCAATAAGGGAAAAGATCCCATACTTTTATCTAATACGGATTAGATGACTTTTATTA